CTAATTGCTCGTCTCAATCACCTAATTTTCCCTGTGAGGCCTCTGCAAACCACATTCCCACAAACATGCAATTATGCAGCAGAGGTGGTTAATTAACTAATTTTCGAGGTAAATTTCCTAACTTTCTCAGTCCACCACGCATCAAACAGTTACACATAAGCTAAGTGGAAATCCAGCTCACTCGTGGTGTCAATTGCCTAATTTTCCCTGTCAGTCAACTGCACACCAATTTCCCACAAACTTTGTGGGTAATTTACTGATTCTCCATGTAAATTTCCTAACTTGACAGATTCAACAAAAATATGAAACCGTCAGACAGGAGCTGGGCGGATAATCCCCTAAATCCTCGTGTCAATTGACTAATTCCTCCTGTGAGGCCCGCTACGGATCACATGCCAACAAACATGAAATTTTGAATTGCCAGTTGTTACTTTACTGATTTTTCATGTAAATTCCCTAACTTCCAGAGTCCACCACACATCAACCACTTAAACAGAAGCTAAGTGCAAATTCACCTAATTGCTCGTCTCAATCACCTAATTTTCCCTGTGAGGCCGCTGCAAACCACATTCCCACAAACATGCAATTATGCAGCAGAGGTGGTTAATTAACTAATTTTCGAGGTAAATTTCCTAACTTTCTCAGTCCACCACGCATCAAACAGTTACACATAAGCTAAGTGGAAATCCAGCTCACTCGTGGTGTCAATTGCCTAATTTTCCCTGTCAGGCAACTGCACACCAATTTCCCACAAACTTTCTGGGTAATTTACTGATTCTCCATGTAAATTTCCTAACTTGACAGATTCCCGGAAACATGAAAACTGTTTGACATAAGCTAACTGGATAAACCCCTAATTCCTCGTGTCAATTTCCTAATTTTCCTTGCGAGGCCACTACAAATCAGATTCCAACAAACATAGCTGGTAATTTACTGATTCTTCGTGTAAATTGCCTAAGTTGACAGATATATGCACACATGAGGTTGTCACATGCAACTGGTTAGTCAACTAATTCTTCACGTCAATTGACTAACTCCCATTGTTAGCCCACAAAATCTCACATTCCAACGATCAACGGGATAAACCAAACAAAACAAACTCATTTGCCTAATCCATACGACAACATTTGCCCCTCCCAATTCTTTTCCTTATTCCTGCAAAATGCCTACAAACACTATAGCAATGCAGTTAACTACCAACACTAATTTTTCCCTAAATAATTAATAACTTTCTTATTTAGCCCCCACACAAACTCTTCATGCTACACTCACAAGCGTTCGCTCACTAAATCAGGAGCATTTGCTAAAGGGCAGTCAGGGAAATGGCCGAACACTATGTGACACATTGGTAATCATTCCTGGGTTAGAACCTAAATGTCATTACCAAACACACCCACCTTTCAGTGGGTCATTCCTCCTTAACCTACCATGAAAACAAAATGCAAGAAATCTACTGCATTTAACGGGGACCGCGAAGCTTACCAAATGGAAATCAGTGACTTCTTCTCGCCCTGCTTCTTCCTTCTTTGTCGATAGCCTTGCAAGTTTCCTCCTTTGTCGGCCTCTTCTTATTCTCCTTCCGCTTCTAGTGATTACCACGAACCCGCAGATTGAAGCTGATAGAATTTTTGGGGGCCACGTCGAACACTTTTCGCAGATTGCGAGAGGCAGGAATCTTCCCACAGAGGTAGCACGTTCGCAGTCGGGAGAGGGCAGATTTTTCGTAGAGTGGTAGCACGTTCGCAGACCGAGAGACGCAGCAGTTTTCCCAGAGTGGTTGCACGTTCGCAGAGCGGGAGAGGGAACACTTTTCGCACACGGGTTACGTTCGCATATAGAGAGAGAGCGGGAGGACTTTTGACCGTCGCTTTTTCGCCTTATTTTCAAATTTCAGCGGAAGTAAAATGAGGGGCAGTGGCGTCATTTCGCTTGTGGAATTAATATCAGATTGGCCCCTTGGTCCTGCAGTGAGATTTCAGAATGTTTTGGGGGCTCTTTGAAATTTTTTGTCTTCTGCGGTCCTACAGTGAAATTTTCCCTAATGTAAATATATTAATGAATTTGTCTTAATTTGTAAAAAAGAAAATTTTAAAAGCACTTTTATCTAATATCAAACACTCTAATTTAAATGAAAAAAAAGGTCACGTTTCAATATCGAAAAGATGCTTTTAGCCTGCTTTTGTCATTTTATTGTGTTTGGAATAGCCTTAAAAAAAAAAAAAAGAGCTTTCGCCACATTCACGTGATAGAGTAGAAGCAGGTTTTTTATGCTTATGGCTTGTGTAGTGCGATTACGGAGGTGTTTTGCAAACTTGCCGAAAGTGTTTTTAAGGCCCAAATCATGGTTTGATCTAAAAAATACCCAACTATCCCATAATTTTTTGAAACCATGGTTTAGCCTATCAAAACTATGGTTTTCATCCAAAACAAAAAAAAAAATTGCTTTTAGACTCTGAAAATACTGCTGTTGCATAATTATGATAGGTGTCAGAGGAGAGAGAAAGGCAGAGTGGATGAATTAAAGTCTATGTGGCGATGGTGATAATTATTTACATGCAAGCAATCTATCTCTCTTGGGAAAAAAAATTTCTCACATCAATTGTTATCAAGGGGAAAAAAAAATCAGACCGAACACTGAATCAGTCAAGACACTGGTTTAAGGGTTAATGGGTCAAATTAGGGTCAGACTGTAATAATTAAAATAATTTAATTTAATTAAAATTAGTTAAATATTCATATTCTAATTATAAAAACAATATTTAATTTTTAAATAGGTAATCATGTTATAAAATATCTATGTATATAAATTTTTTTATTTTTTATTTCTTTTTTCTCTATCTTCTCTCTCTCACGTGTCATGCCCAATTTCCTCCTTATATCACACATCACAAAGCAATGTCTCTCTCCTTCGACATTGAACAAGCAGGGTAGACTAGGGTGGTAGCAGATTATCTTGCCTCATTGAGCACGCATTACCATTTCTCCCTTCTCTTTCTCAAATTACTTCCTGTCGTCCTCACTTCTATTTTTTCCTCAAATAGAATGGAGAAATGGAGAAATAGCGAAAGAACAGCACCATTTTTCTTCTCTACACTTTATTCATCCATCCTACTCTCTCTCTCTCTCTTATCTTTCTCCTTCTCTTCCAATCTTCTACGAATATACTTCAAAGCAGCACAAACAAAGATTTCTTTTCCTCAGCCTCCATGATCTCCTCTGTTTCCACCGCATGTTTCTGCAGTGTCCATGGTTTTCGCCAAACGGTGAGAGCAAGATTAGAAGTTAAAAAAAACAAAAAAGAAAAAACAGCCAACCTAGTCCACCTAGCAATTTTCCCTGTTTTTACAGGTTTATTCTCATTCATTCCAGGTTGATTGGGGGCTGGTTTTTAGGCTAAACTAGACTGAAACTTAGGCTGGTTCATTGATTTTTTGGTTGATCGGTTGGTTCGATCCCCTTTTTTTTCCTTGATTGTTATGCAATGAATTTCAAATTCAATTTTGCCAAAAAAAAAGCTGAGATTTTGTGTTTAAAATCTTCAAGATAAAATAATATTTTTTTAGCTAGCAAAAAAAATCACTTTTTAAAAACATGTTTAATCTTATTTTTATAAATACATATACCATATTAATTATTTATTAATTAATTTTTATATATTATTATTATATTGGCAAAAAATATATATTAAAAAATTTATTACTTCAAATAAAAATATATTATAAAATCTATCTTTTATGTAATTATCATATTAACTTATATCTTTTTTAGTAATTTATAGATATAAAAAGTGCTTCTAATAATTATCCAAATATCTTCACTTTATCGAAATCAGTTTTTTACAAAATGTATTCTTTCAAAATCCATTCTTAAAAATAACTTTTCCTTAAGAAGCTACTCTCATGGTTTGGTTTTATCCAAACACTCTCTACGTCACTGTAGAGACATAGGAAAACAAAAGGAGAGCATCACTCTATGGCCGACTGGCTCAATGCTGCAGATCTTTAATTAGATAGTGTTATTGTTATTATTTATAATTTATAACTTATACTTCTTGCCAACACACTATTTATAATTTATATATTGCTAGCAAGAAATATTTAGGATTTATATACATTTTTATTTACTAAGTATATTTAATTATGTATTTTTAATATTTGTAAATTTTTTTCAATAATACATTTTTATTTACAAATTTTTTTATAATATTTTTAATTTTTTAAATTAAATTTCACTTCCTCCTATTAAAATAATTTAAATTCATTATATTATGTAAATTTATTTTTTAATAATTTTTTACTATTTAATAAAAGTCATACCAATTTCTGTAGTTTTACAAATGAAATTTACTTATCTAATCATAATTCAAATAACTTTTCTACTTTTACGAACTACCTTTTATAAAATCCAATCCAAGCATAAATTACATTATTCGATCTAACATTTATCTAATCCAGTTTTTTTAAAATATCAAATTAAAAATAAATTACCTTTTTCACGGTTAATCCAAACGTACCAAATTTCAGTAAGTGTTTTTCAACGTAGACCCAAGCTATATATTTTCTTAATAGAGCCATTTTACATGAAGGAAAACAAAACTCATCTAGAATTTTGTTCCCCAATGTTATAATACAGTATTAACTTGATCACCTAAACTGGAGATCATGCGCATTCTCATTTTTGCGAATAAATCTCGCCAGGGGAGAGAAATGCAACACTCATTTTCTTTGTAGTTGGAAAAAAGCCGATAGAGAATAACAAGGCACAGCTATGTCACACAAAAGGCACAAAATTTGAGTGCGTCAATACAAAATACAACTTCTCTACCAAGAACAGAACTAAAAAAAGATCATGCCAAAATGGTGAATGATAAAGTCTATAAAGGCGTGGCTATGACTTGAACTTCCATTGACTCATTCTCAATATTTATTTGGGAAAAAATTGAGAAAAAGAAACATGAATTGGGGAATGCTCTGTGTGAGTTCAAGGAATTGATATTGGAAATGGATTTGGCAGCATTTTTGTCAGCCTTACTTGCTGTAACTCTTGTCGCAAAATTCATTCAGCATTGGGTCATCGACAGGCCTGTACCCAAACCCAAGGAGCCGCTTCCCCCGGGCCCACTAAAGTGGCCCATAGTAGGCAATCTGCTCCAATTGGGCCAATACCCACACAGAGACTTTGCCTCTCTGTGTGACACATATGGGCCCTTAGTTTACCTCAAACTGGGCCAAGTCCATGCCATCACCACTAATGACCCAAGCATCATCCATGAAATCCTCGTCCGCCAGGATGATGTCTTCGCCTCTCGCCCACACACCCTTGCCGCCGTTCATCTTGCATATGGGCGAGGCGATGTTGCCCTGGCTCCTCTGGGACCTCATTGGAAGAGGATGAGAAGAATTTGCATGGAGCATCTGCTGACGACGAAGCGACTGGAGTCATTTGCCAAACACCGAGAAGATGAGGCCCAACACCTCGTGGCGGATGTTTGGGCCCAGGCCCAATCAGGAAAGCCCATCAACCTAAGGGAAGTGCTGGGTGGATTCTCAATGAACAATGTGACGAGAATGTTGTTGGGAAAACAATATTTTGGGTCAAAATCAGCAGGGCCTCAAGAGGCCATGGAATTTATGCACATAACTCATGAGTTGTTTTGGCTACTGGGTGTGATATACTTGGGTGACTACCTCCCAATGTGGAGGTGGATAGATCCCTCTGGGTGTGAGAAGAAAATGAGAGAGGTTGAGAAGAGAGTGGACGACTTCCACTCCAAGATAATTGAGGAACATAGGGAAGTCATGAGAAATAAGAGCAAGAAAGGTGATGACGAAGATGAAGAAATGGACTTTGTGGATGTTTTGCTTTCTTTGCCTGGTGAAGATGGGAAACAGCACATGGATGATGTTGAAATCAAAGCCTTAATCCAGGTACTTGTTTATACTACTTCCGATCTTTAATATAAGATCTTATTTGACTCTTATTTTGGTTCTAAATATAAGATTTCAATTCATTTTGTCTCCCATATTTATTTAATTTTTTTTCAAGATAGTTCTTCTAATAATAATAATTCTAACTAATAAACTTGATTGGTAAAGATATTTTAGAAAATATGACACATATTTATCACAAATAACTAACTTAACTTATTTCCTTAATCTACTTAAATTAGTCAATTAGCTCTTATATTTAAGACCGGAAGTAGTATTTAGGAAGTCGAAATCTACTTTAAGTGCATATTTGTATTATCTGTTTTTTGGTTTCTATAGCATTAAGAGATATCATTGTGTGAAACGCTATGGATAGGATATGATAGCTGCAGCCACGGATACATCAGCCGTGACTAACGAATGGGCGATGACAGAGGCGATTAAGCATCCACGTGTCCTTCATAAAATCCAGCAGGAGCTTGATTCTATTGTGGGCCCTAGCAGAATGGTCACTGAATCTGACTTGGCACATCTTAACTACCTGCGCTGTGTCGTGCGTGAAACCTTCCGGATGCATCCTGCGGGTCCTTTTCTAATCCCACACGAGTCCCTGCGTGCTACCACCATCAACGGCTACCATATCCCTGCAGGGACACGTGTCTTCATTAACACCCACGGATTGGGTCGTAACACCAAGATTTGGGATAACGTAGAGGAGTTTAGGCCCGAGAGGCACTTGCCGGCTGATGGAAGTCGAGTGGAGATAAGCCACGGAGCTGACTTCAAGATATTGCCATTCAGTGCTGGGAAGAGGAAGTGTCCTGGCGCGCCGCTTGGAGTGACTTTGGTTTTGATGGCTCTAGCTCGACTCTTCCATTGCTTTGATTGGACCCCATTGGACCATGTTGATACAGCAGAGGTTTATGGCATGACTATGCCAAAGGCTGAGCCCTTGATTGCCATCGCTAGGCCACGTTTGGCAAGACACCTGTATATTGATGTCAAAAAAATAATTGTTATTTAATATTGATTTAGGCGTTGTTATTCAAATATTGGGATAAGAAACATAATTACTATAAAGTTTTAATAACAATAAAACAGTATGTAATAAACAGATTTTAGATTAATAAATAACAACTGTTCATTGTTCTTGGCATTTAATGGTAATTATTTATTTTTTTCCGGACCTTTTATAATTATCACTTAAATAACTCCTGCTAGAATCTTGAACAAAAATTTACATAGGTAAAACGTTGAATTTGATATCAGTTACTCCTCCGGTCCTTAGTATAGAACCCAATTCTTGAGTTGGTTTTGGTCTTAAATATAAGACCCATTTTTCATATTTATCAATTTTTTCTAAATTACTCCTATAGATATTCTCTCAACCATAATCAAGTAGAAGAGAGAGAAGGGGTATTAGAAATATGATTATGATGTTTTAGGAAAAATGTGTCACTTTTCTTATAATTAACTAACTTACCTAACTTTCTTAATCTAATCAAATTAGTTAAATGGATCTTATATTAAGGATCAGAGGAGTATTTAAACACTTAACATTTGATCCGAGTCTATGAAAATCATATATTTTTCTAGAAAATGCAAGCACTAGTCATTCCTAAATTACGTTGTTGGCAAAAACAACCTTGTGAGCCCAACTCGAATGGACCATTCGCTTTCTTCTTTTTCTACATTAATTAATGGACTCTTACCCTTTCTCCTCTTTGCCAGCCGACTTTTACCTTTGATAAAAGCTCGGAATAAGTTTAGAACCAAGCCATCCCACAATATTAAAGTGGAGATGGGTTTTGACGCCCAAGTGGATCCAAGCCTATGATTGCTTCATTTGCTTGTTCTTCCAAGGGGGAAAAAAAAGAAGAGAAGAAACGGACCCAAAGTTGTGATTGAGAATCTGTTTTTACTTTTCTTGCGCTTTCACCGTACGCGCGTGTCATGATCATCTTCCTCTCTTTCTGTTTTCCCTATTGCAATCTAGTACATGTTCACACCACTTTATTATTACAAAAGTAAATTACATGTTCTTTTTCAAAGATTTCTCAAGCCCTAATCTCTTTTATTATTATGCGTATTTCTTATGAAAAATTAGTCATAAGTATATTAATTACATTCATTTAATATTACATTCATTTATTTTAAAAGAATATTTTAATTCTTCATAGTATGTGAGAATCGTACATGAATTTCACTTTCAATTCTCCTATCTTAATCTTATAGCTGAGTGGCATGTAAATTCTTTTATAGATGGGATGAAAATTTACAAGTTCAATCCTACTTATAATAACAGGGTGTTAATATATGTTTTTTTATTTAAAAAATCTCCCTCTCTTAGAAACTCACAATAACATGTTTAGGAAAGTTTTTAAAAGAGATATTTAGTATTAATTCAACTACAAAATTTTGACCATCTCTCTCACTTGCAACCTAATCCTATATTTTCTCTTGTATTTAAATTGATGGACTTCACGCTTGGAAGCTCACGGGGAAATTGGCGTACACTTGGCAATAAAATGGGAGGCTTCACGATTCCATTCCCCTCGCATTTATGTGCCACTCTCCCACCTAATTTATAAATTATTGATCAAAGTCAAAATTGTGACCAAAAGATAAAAAATAAAAGTCAAAGTGAATGTGGGAAGATCGATGACTTAGTATTTTGTGCACATCTCCCCTATTCTTCAAAACTGCACTTGGGGTTGGCCAAAAAAAAAAAACTGAACTTGGGAGGGATGAATGTTCTAGAGTCTCTTTCGCTGTTAATATTATTTTGATTTAATTATAAGACCTCTTATTTATAGTCTATAAATAAGATATTATAATTAGAACAAAAAATAATATGAGTTTTTAAAAGTTATCAAAGTCTCCGGCTATCAAATTTTTCTCTTGCAATTGCTAATTAGGGATTTTTCAAATAAACCTTGTTAGAAAGGCCCATATTGTAAATTTGTGTCCTATCCTGTGCACATTCTTTACAATTTGATAAAAAATTTTTTTTGAGAAAATTACTAGATCATCCTAAAAAATAATACTACTTTTGATTATTAATAAAGAGCCAGTTGGATATTAAATTCTGTCTTAAATATACAATTTAATTTATTTATTCTTTAAATTTGTAATTCATTTTATAAAGTATCTTTATCAATCACATATATCAAGAATTTTCATCAAGGATAATAATGATTAAAAAAGATAATTTAGAAAAATCAATTCATATTTGTTATAAATAATTAACTTAGATAATTTCTTTTATTTACTCAAATTAATCGAATAACTCTTATATTAAGGACTAGAGGTAATACAATAATTTTGTTGGATGATTTTTTTAGTAATTGCATTTTTTCTTGGACTTTGTAATGACCCCCATTTTTCTTGTTTTTCACATGAAATTTCAATAATAAATTAAAGTTCTTATTTATAATATATTGATATTTGATACTCCTTCCCGTCCTTGTTATAAGTTTCAAATAATTAATTCTTGAATAGCGAATAATTAGTTAAAATAATAAATAGGTTAGAAATATATTTTTTTCTCAAATATGTCCTTATAATAAATGAGAAAAATGATAAAAAGGATTTGTGAAAAAATGTGATAAGAGAAATTATGGTAAGGAGAAAATAAATAATTAAAAAACAAAATTAAAAAAATGCATGAATAGTTAAAAGATACTCCTTTCAAATTTAAAACTTATAAATAAAACTAGAGGAATGGTTATGAGGAAATATGAATCAGCACTTATTTATGAACTGCTTTTTAATGAAATACGAAATAATTAACGAGAGTTTTTATCTTTATCTACAGCAACGCACAAGCCCCAACTATGTTTTTTTTTTTTTTAAACCTTAATCTATGCTGCTTTTGAAAGCAACTTTCCCATTGCTTTTTGCCCCTTCAATGTAAACTCACCAAATGGTATCTGCTTTTCCACAACACCAGCACGGCTTTCAAAAAGTTTACATTCCCTAAAAACTCCTAAGCTCAGTTTGCGTTAAATGTCTGTTCAATATTAAAAAATTTTTATATGGCCAATATTTTGAGTAAATATTCTCTCAATTCTTCATATAAAACTTATTAATTAGTATAAGTAAATTAAAAATATTAGTTAAATTATTTAATATGATATATAATTTTAAAATACAGTAATTATCTTCTTAATTTTCTTCCTCATTTTCCTATTTAATTATTATTAGAGAATATCAATAGAATTAATTTAAAAAAAATTGATAAAATATGAAATGAGTCTCACGTAGATGACAAATATCAATTCTTCAGTTAGTTCCTACACCTACACATCAAGCATAACGATCTTTCTTCAATTTTTTTAAAATTACAGAAGGTTCCTCTATATTTTTAAAATATGCACATAAGTGAAATAATATTTTTTTAAAATTATCAATTTTAATCTCATATTTTAATTATTTGCTCTATGTATTAAATTTAAATATTCTCAAATGATTGAATATGATAATATTTAAATAGCTATTTAAAAAGTATCGAATTAAATCAATAAAGTTTACAGTTAAATAAACACAAAATATATTGTGTTAAATTTGTAATTTATTATTTTTTTTGTTATACGTGTTTGAGATATTATTTTGGCTAATTTCTTAACGATATTCATGTTAAATAGACGTTTTTTCTTATCAAAAGATTCGATTTAATAGTGAATCAACAGTTTGGTTAATGGAAAATGAAATTTTAAAAATAAATGAGAGGTCTATATTATACGATTCTTGATTTTAAGAAAGGTTTATATAGATTTTAAAAATAGAAGAAGGTTTCCATAATTAAAACAAAATAGATGAAAGATTAGTGCAGCCTTACAAACATTATGATGGGAAGGGTCCTTCCTAGAGGCCAATTATATAATTACAAGCTTTTGTTTTTTCCAACTTTTTTTTTTACCTGGATTTTTGCCAACAATTAAAAGCTCTGAGACAAATACTAATTATTCATTAGGTACAGTGCATAATTTTTAAAGGCGTAACACTGTATATAAGATATTTTGCGCTTCAAATTAGCGCCTGACGTACGTTCAATTATTGTTGATGGAAGTGTTGCCTGATGGAGTTTGATTTTAAATTTAACCCCTCGATTTATTTTCTTTATCGTGCTTATTATTCTTTTTTAAATTAATTTATTATAAATTGATATACTTTAATTAATATTATATATGAGTATTTAAAAAAGTTTAAATCACACATATTATAATTAACTTTTTTTTTTGGTATTTGTCAATCTATACGATCTATACACATTAGTTAAGCACTCAGCTAGTTCTTTTTTATAAGCTTTAATTTTATGAATGAGTGTGGTTTTCTTCACAGGCAATAGTTTGAAAATTTGTGAATATTTAATACATTCTTTCTATTTTCCTCCAAATTAATTATATGTCGGATTTTTTCACTTATTCTCTTTCTCACCCACGCTCCCATAGACAAAGCCATAAAAGTGTTTTGAAAAAAATAAGTCACATAATTTTCTTACATATTTATTATTTTAACTAATTTTTTAATTTGAAATTTATAAAAAAGATGGAATATATTAGGATGCGAGAGAATATTAAGTTCGAAAAATAAAATTAATAGTACTCTAACAAATCAAGTACTAATATTTATATTTTTTGTCATGTATTCCTTCTTGTCTATATTATAAGAAATCTTTTAGAAGATATTTTTGATTATTTTCACAAGACTTTTTATGAGTTTCAATGAGTATTAAATATTTTTTCATACATGCTCTTATTTAATAAAGATAGTAAGGAAGAGTAAAAATCAAGACGATATTAGAATTTGATGTGGTTAACAATAGTAATGTGGGAAACACTTAACTTCTATGATAAATATAATACTTTTAATTATTTTTATTGGTATATGTGAATTAGTTAGAAATATTTTGTATCATGAAGTGGGGGACTATATTATTGCATTGTTTTTTTTTTAAAAAATAAAGGAGTTATTTAAATCAACTAAAACTATCCATATAATCTATCTCTTATACGCACAATA